TGTCACTATCATCCGCGCACTTCTAGAAAACCCCAAAACGCATGAACCATTCTAAGTAGAGGCTGATGATTTTCCAGAAGATACATTCTCCAAAACTGTTCGAAAGTACCTCGTGGGCATGGCCCAAAGACAGAAATGCATAAATCAAAAAATAAACCTCTCTAATAGTCTATATCGACTTCCAAGCTCGACAACATGACCTGTACGCATCTCACTTCCTTTTCCCAAATCTGTTCCTTCTCATTTAAACCCTATTTTCACAAATGGCCTTGGAGGTGCCACTAGACAACAAAGGAAGTTTGCATAAAAGCAGCCACTTTGATTTCGTCCAGAGAAACAAGTGACGAGGCTCTATCCGCAGGAATATTCCATTTACCTTTGGGTAGGTGACTAGGAACCTGAAACATTATAAAAAAACACCCGGAAAACCAATTCAACATCATATAAGCTTGATTCGTGAAAGGTATGAATTTGCCAAATCCTGACCCGTGCACCATTATCCATGAAAAGCGAATCTTTCTATGAGAGTATAAGTCATGTGTAGATCCCAAAAAACAGTAACCGAGAAAAGCTTAGCACCCACTGATCATTCATCATGTAAATGCTCTCTGTGGGCTCCGGCATAAGCTCATAATAGCATCCAGCAAAAATACCAATACTAAGACAGACTTTCGCCCCGAGACAGGGATAATGTAATCATAATGAAAATATCTTGCTTAATTACATTTGAACTCCGCGAAAAATTTTTTTGTAAGAACGTGGATATATTCTTCATCCAATATAAACCTGCGTACCTGCATAACACTAGTCATTGGAGAATCTGATGACAGCAACTACCATGATTTTGGTATAAGAAATCACTCATATCCTCATCAGATTTATCTATAACAAACTATAGAGTACTAAAATTAGTATGACTAATAATTAGGATATTTGCACTATGGGACATTTACTTTTTGCAAACAAAACAGGGGGATACAGGAGCTGCAGGATCTCAAGAATCTGAGAAGACGTACAGTTTAATTCAAGTAGTATGCCTACGCGGAACTATTTCCCTTCCCATACACATTATCCTACTTTAAGAACAAGTCTCCTCTGAATCGTTATTCTAATGTCAACTCTCCCAGCATATGTGTGGTGTAGTGTACATATATAGCGATAGCAATACCCAGTGCCTATTAATGCCCGGTTATATGGAATTTCTTTTCTGATTTATTCCTCAGTTATTTGCTTATATATGCTTAGAGAAAAGTAGAGAAAACCAGTTTCTAAGATATTGCTGCCCTGAGTATCTAGATTTCAAGACCTATGACCCTTAATTCCAGACAGAGTATAAGATTCGACCAAGGTCACGGACGGACTATGCTCTAATCAACGGCAAATTAGGTTTTCGGCGAAAGCCGCTGTACTAATACCTAGAGCCCTTTATGTTTTAAAACGTCTTTTACAGGAAAACTGCCTCGCGGTGATGTCTAACGAAGTAACCCTCAGGCCATGCCGTGAGTGCATTTTTTGTCCTTTCATCCGTATTGCAAAGCACCGAGCTAAGGTCCTTTATTGGGCAGCGGAACTTTCTTACTGTTTCTATGCAGGCACCAGGTTTCGGCGTTATGAATAGGTTGCTCCATTTATCCACATATAAGCGGGTTCGAGAGGGATACCTCTTCAGGGGTAGAAGGCTAGGAGTTGATACGGCATGTTATTTGGGTGCTAGAGCCTACAGTGGTCTCCAAGCCCCATTCCGCATGGAGAGAGGTAATCTCATCGCAGGTGTGCGTGTTTCCCTTTTATTCATGAAAGTTGTTGGATAGAAAGACCTTGCATTGGTCAGGCTATTGAGTCGACTCAAACCATCTGCTTCCATTGGGCGCAGCTCACAGCCACAGCCTGCCTGCTTTACAATTGGATGCGCTCCACCAGTTGCCTGGTGTTGCACGAAACCACACTACACGTGCCTCCGAAAAAGTGCACAGAGCTTGCATGACCAATCAACATAAATTATTATCGAGTAATTCGACCGGAGGAGAAGAGAGAAGCCACCTTGAGGGATTCGGAACGAAGTCAGAGAAGTAGAGGACGCAGAGATGCACATTCTTAGGTTCGTGCCACCTTAGTAGACTTCGTTAGACCTAAACAGTTACACCACATTTGTTTCCATTCAGGCGCTGAAGTGCGAATGCCGTGCTTCTCTTCTATCTATATAGCCACGATGGATGCCATGGCTTGTGTACTCGGCAATTCGATTTGCCCAATTGTGAAGGGGCAGAGCAAGGACACACAGAACTCGTCAGTTACGACAATAGCAAGGGTAAGCCCATACCTGAGCTTTTTCTTTCTTTTTTGACTTTTCGTGAAATTAACTCCGTAAAAACAAAGCTTGGGTGGGTGTTCATATAGGAGACTTCATGTAGCTTCCATTAGCTAACATAGAACGAAACAACCCAAAATATACGGTGACTTCTAGCTTCGTTGGGAGATCGTTCTCTATTCAATTCTCATGCCCTCCGTTAATCAGTAAATGGGAAATGGCATTTGCATTTATTAAATGAATTAGAAGAGACAGCACGTAAACGGAAACCAGCCAAACAAATTGAGAAATGCACGCTGCATCAAGATTTTGTGTTCATGAGCTCACACGCGTATTATCATTATTCGTACTAATCATTAGGCATTAAGTTGAAACAGCATAAGTAGAAAACCATATGAATAAACGTGTGCATTGTAGAAACCTCTGGATTTGGTTCAACAAAGTAAAAGAGAGGCAGAGAAGTTGACTGCAACTGAAGAGGCTGCCGAACCCATTTACCGGAAACCTGAAACACAAACATTAAAATTCCAAAACTCGAGTCAGATGTGCATCAATCTCGCAACATTTTGGTTCGGAGCAACAAGCGCCTGAAAATCATGTGTTTTGGATTATCTAATAAATCATTAGAGCTTAATTACAGTTCCAAAACGGGTAAACTAAAGCTTAATCACATCCGAGGAGGAGCTTAATTACCTTAAAGGAAATCAGAAAGTGCAGTTGCTGTCCCAAGCCCGATTGCTGTCCCAAGTCCGATTGTCCGACGACCGGCTTCCGATTTTCAAGTTATAATTCTAAATCTTAACCGTACGGGGTTTAGTCGAGTTTCTAGGTTGTATGGATTTCGGTGATTGTCGTAGAGGATTCGGGGATGCTCTGCTCTGCTAATTCATGGAGGACGAATCCTATTAATTCTCGGAAATCTGCCTCGATTAATTAATGAATTAAATGCGTTAATTTAGTTTCCTTATTTGTTTTTATTTTTACTTTTCTATGTAGAGAGAAAGCGATTGGGTATGTGCGCGCTCAATTTTTTTATTTTTTATTTTCTCTCTCCGGAAAAGTAGTTTTCTGTTTTTATTTCCTCGGTTATTGTACAGAATTGTTCCTGAGATTTTGCATGATCAATATAAATGGTTTCTGAAATTGTTCATCATCCATAATTTTGGTCATTCCGTTAAAAACTCTTTGGGTAATTTTCAAAACTTTGTAATTCATCGTTTCTTAACCAAATTCAACCCATAATATATCAAAATGAAGATAGCCCTGGTGACTGGTTCACGGGAAGGAAAACTCGTCGGAAACTGGTAAACTTTAAACGTTCATAATTTTTTCAATACTCAACTAAATCGAGTGATTCAAAAACGAAAATCATACTTCATAATGAGACAAAGAGAATTGTACCTTTTTCGAAGGCTAACTCGCTGTGGTTTGGTCGGACAATGGCTCGAAAGTGGCTAACCATTTTCAAGTTAGCCCCCTTTCGAGCAGTTTTTCGGCCAAACCAATGCAAGTTAGAAGTCAAAAAAGATGACATTCTCTTCGTCTCATCGAGAAGTATGATTTTTGTTTTTGAATCACTCGATTTCATTGAATATTGAAGAAGTTATGGATGTTTAAAGTTTACCTAGTTTCCGGCGAGTTTTCCAGTTTTCTCACGGACCAATCACCTTTCAGGCTATTTTCCGGCCATCTTTGGCAATCATTGGACTTCCAAATAGATATAATTTTGTTCTACACTTCCTATCTTCACTTTGATATATTACAGGTTGAATTTGGTTAAGAATCGATTGAGTTACGAAACTTTAAAAATTGCCTAAAGAGTTTTTAACAGAATGATCAAATGGTGGACAATCTCGGTATGTGCGCTCTCAAATTTTTTTTTTTATTTTCTCTCTCAGGAAAAGTACTTTTCTGTTTTTATTTTACATTCCAGTTATTTTTTTCTTTGAAAGGCAAAATGATATAATATCAAAAAGAGAAATACATGGACAACATTCTGGTTAAAATTCAGTTAATGTGATTTTTTTGCATCCCCACCTTATGTAATGAACTCATTCCCCCATTGTATAATGTATTTTCACAGTAAAAATTTTGTAATTGAAACTGTTCAATCTCTTAATCTTCATTTGAAGATCATTTCAACAAAAAATCATTCACATCGGAATCGTTTCATCAACGGTTCATCATAAATATACTACTTAGTATCTACATCGTTGAACATTTGAATGACCAAACGATGTTTGTTTCGAATGATGTTTTTCAAAGTTGATCTTCAAAAAAATTTAAGAGATTGAATAGTTTCGATTATAAAGTGTTTACGGTGAATATATGTTATAAGTAAGTGGAGAAATAAGCTTATTTAAGGAAAATGCAATAATTATCCTTTTTTTCATCAACTGGGAGATAGTACTTAGAAATTTGAAGTTGATACCTCTTCTGATATCAAAATTTAAACTCGTAATCTCATCAATGCGCACAGTTGATACCTCATTTTTCACATCCAACCTGTGCATGACAAACCCTGTCGTCTATCACTGAATCCTTCAATTGCTTAGGGATTACTAATCCTACTTAATATCTATTAAGATCTATACGTGTGAACATCGAGAGCTAGCAAATCTCATGTATGCGCATTGTATTTGCAATTTACGAAACATAAAAGAAAGAAAAAAATCCTAATACATCAATATCAAAATACAAACGAAGTAATAATATTTCAGCTCCATTCATTTCAGCTAACTGATCTCACCAGACTCCCAATACAGTTCTGCAACGATGGCGTGCCATGTCGAATAATCTTGGGAATTTTAACAAAACACTCATGGTACTGTTTACTTTTAACGAAAAATCACATTTTTACCTTTAACTGGCACTATTCACTATACCTTTAAAAATGACTTTTCGTTAAAAGAGAAGTTTTTTTGAACTTTTCGTTAGTTTTCCTAATAATCTTATCTACTCAAGCTAAGCTCCAAACAGAGTCCGAGCTACAACAAAAGAGTAACTGAAACCTAGGTTCAGCAAGGTAAAATGTAGACATATCTTGGCAGATGGCGCTGCTGCGGTTGATGAAGCAACCAATGATGTACTCCCAAGAAAAGCTCGAAACGACCTTCAATAGAAACATGTTATTTCCATAGTTGAGTGGCTTCCCACTCACTGATCTTTCAAATGGCATCAATGAATCGGATGTCAAAAGAAATGGGATTAATCTGCCACACATTTATGTTTGCGTATTCCTCTAAACATTGTTTCAGTTGGGCTTCACTGTATCCCTGTTCAAAAGCAAACATTCCACAAGGCTTAAGACAAAATAGATAGAAGTTCGAACATGATTATATAATTATATTTATCACTTCCAAGTTTTGTACTAGTTGTTTGACATGATAAGCAGTGCAGTTGGATTTGCATTAGATCCACTTATATAGGTTGGCATTCAATTATTTATCTGAACATCGTTCACAAGATGCTTAAAGTTGAGTTGCAAAAACTAACCTTCCTAGAAATCAGATTTAGTGCATGTGCATAGCTCACATCCTGCTTGCCCGTCGTCTCAGACTCATCTCGCAAAATTGAATAGATATCTCCAATAGGATCCAGACCAGATTTCTGGCGATCATCTGAGTACAAAGAGAACTTCGACATATGCATCAGCCTTAATGCCTCATCCACATCAGATTGAGCCACAGTTTCAGAATGTCGGAGTCTTGCTATTGCCTGTAAGCGAAAGAAGTTAGTTTGTCTGTTGCGTGATCAACACACCCTGTAAAGTATAAACATCTATTGCTTCCTTCTTCAGATGAGCATTTCCGAGTAACCCATCCAACAAACCAAGAAAATCTATTTATCTATAATACCCAAAAAAGCATACTAGATTTCCATGCTAGATAATTCTTCCTCTACTTATGGACGCAGTTTCTTGAGCAACCCATAAAATGGGTAAAAGATGGTACAAACAATACTCCTACATATTACCTTTTTACAATTCCAACCTAAACATCTGACCCACTCCATACACAGAAAGGTTCCGCTTAAATACGCACCATTTAGGTCTTAACACTCTTAAATTGGATGGCTTTCCCTCTGCCTGATGAAGATGGCAGAACCCAAACCCTATGCCTATGTAGGTGGCTTGAAACCATCAATTTTGCCACCTCAGTCAACTTTGATGCTCTGTATATATTGTTGTATCATTTCTTGCCATCTCATTCTATTGTGATACACAGCATATATTTGCGGAACCACATTTATTTAAATGAAAAAATGAAAGGCAGGACTTACAGCTGATATTCGAAGAATGCTGAGCAGAGTTCTCACAGTTGTATAGGAATGGGGTGCATTCGATTTAGCTTCTTCTTGCCGAATGCTAGAGTAGGCACTAGCAATATACTCCTCAAGTTCCTGTGGGACTGAAGGAGACAATCTTCTCACTGCAGAAATATATGCCCTGAAAAAAATCATAAAAGAAAGGATCTTATCAGAAAGTACCACTAATCAGCAGACTTGAAAACAAGGATTTAAGTAGCTTTACAAATTACAAGTTCTATACAGAAAAATCATACTCGTTTGCATGGAAAAGTGATCAATAGAAAGACTAAAACAAAAGAGAAGATCCCAAAATCGGTACTACTGAGCTTTCCATGGTAAAAGTGATGAGAAATTTACCGAATAACAGATGGCTCAAGTGGAGTGAAACCAAGAGCCGGAGATTCTTTATTCTGATGAACATAGACAACATGCCTAGCCATCTCAAGATCACTATCCATATCTGCTCGATCCAGGATTAACCATAAAAGATCAAATCTTGACAAAAGGGCCGGTGGAAGATTAATGTTTTCAGCAGGAGTTCTACGTAGGTCATATCTCCCCCTTCAAGAATATATATAAAACTACAGTAAGAGTTTGCAGAGATTTTACACAGAAGGTTAGCTTCCAGCAGTGGAAAAGGCACCACATAATTAGAGCAATATGATTTAGAAGAGAAGTGACAAGGAGTAATGCCCTATATGAACCAGATTAAAAATAAGTAGAAAGATTTTTACCATGCTGGATTAGCTGCAGCAAGAACAGCAGTTCTTGCATTCAAGGACGTAGTGATCCCAGCCTTGGCAATGCTGACAGTCTGCTGCTCCATAACTTCATGTATGGCTGTACGATCTAATTCATCCATCTTATCAAACTCATCAATAGCACATATTCCCATATCCGCTAGCACCTGAAATGAGTTAATACTTCCACAATTCAACACCCAGAAACACACAAAAAATAATCATAAAGAAAGCCTAATAGAGAACTATGGGGAGTCTGATCTAATTAGGGATTATACAGTGAATTGGTTATGGATTGACTCCTGAAAACTGGCTAGGTTTTACTTCCCCTCTTCACTTTCTAGCTATTGCTTCTGCATCAAAGGCACACACAGGTATGATGCAATAAAAGTTTAACATTAAGAACTCTCGAGTATTATGCATTTATTTGGCAAGTATTTACTGGTTTGTAATTTTGTATCCTCTTCCACTCATATAACATGGAAAAATAAACATATATATATATATATAACTGAAAGGAGCATTTGTATCTCACCAATGCTCCTCCTTCCAGGACCATTTCATTTGTGACGGGATCTTTCTGAACAGCAGCAGTTAGACCAACTCCACTGCTTCCTTTGCCAGTTGTATATACTCCCCTGGGTGCTACATTAATTATGTGTTTGAGAAGCTGGCTCTTTGCAACTCCAGGATCACCCATCAGACAAATATGTAAATCTCCTCTAATCTGCATTTGGAAGGAGAATGTATTATGAACTCTTGTGGTCCTATCGTGCAAATGATAAAACATGCTATGACTGGTCTACTTTATCACAGACATGATATGAGCTTGGAAATTATCCTAAAAATAGAACATTTGGCTTGGGAATCCCATCTTATAAAGGAAGGAGACAAATTGCAAACTGAAACTTAATTGACATAACCATTAACCAGTGACCAGGACATGTAAGTGCCAGGTCAGGAAGCTGCAATAGAGGGAAGGAAGAAGGGAAGACTGCTGATCTTTCACTTCAATGTAGAGGATACATCCAAATGATATCCATAATCTTGTGAATAAAAATTCTCAGAAGGATAAGCAAAATTCAATTTAACAATGTGTAATTGAGTCAGATGGCATCTGGTAACATTGAGAACTTACCTTCATTCCATCTTTTAGTTTCCTGTGAGGAGCGCCCACTAGGAGCAGAAGCAGAGCCTTTTTGATATCTTCATGCCCGTATATTTCAGGTGCCAAAGATCGAGCCAGCTTTTCATATATGTTACCATCCTCAGCCAAACGTGCAACTTGTTCTTCCTCATCTCCTATAAGTTCATAACTGTGGCATAACTCAAGTTAGTACACAACACTTTTTTTCACCTAAGAATTAAAGAGGTTTATCAATGTAAGTAAAAAGAACAATACGTTTAGCAAAAATTGTACCACAAGCACCAGATAAACCCTATGTTAAGAGTTGAAAAGATGGGAACAATATATAGTACAAGATTTGTACGAAAAGTAATTTAGTCAATTACACAAGTATCGATGATTTTGTTGACTGAGAACTGATAAACGAAATGCATAAACCGATGACAAAATTGTACTGAACATGGAATAGTGGCTTACTCTTCATATTTTTTCTTAGTATGTGTGATGGACATGGCTTCTAAGTAAGTATCAGCAACTAAGCCAGCCCGCATTGCTCTGAAACCAGTATAAGGAATAGGAAGAAAAATCCCAGATAGTTTCACAACATCACCCGGAGCTACCTAATGGTGTTGAGGAAGAGGCGCATGCAAATTCAAAGAAAATAGTTATAATCAGTTAAGTAGAAGCAGGATGTCATCGCTTCCTGCAGTCATGTGAAGCGGAAGCCCCCCTGTCTACCCCATTGCAAGGGATTCATTCAAAACTGTAAGTTTAAGTTTAAAATACTTTATGATAATTAACATAGAAGTATTCAACCTTTCTTGTGAGTTCACCCCGGAAGTGAACGGTCATTGTCCGTGGAATATGGCCTTTTGGAACATCTTCAGACAACTCTTGTATCTTTGCCTGAAATTGAACCACATCTAACTATATCACAGAAGAGGATGATAAACGCTACTGTTGAAAAAAATTAATGCAAAACCATATTCTAATACAGCTGTCCCCGTGTTATTAAATAATTGTGACTAAATCGGCATAAGGTACCTCCTGAAATTTCAAGAACTTTGATGCCCTGAGTTGAAGAATAAGGTTCCCCTTTGTTCTATTTGTTATACAACGCCTGGATGGGCATTCAAAAAGTGGCATAAAGACTCGAGCAGTTACTTCCTGTTAGGCACAAAAAGAATTCATTAGTCAACAAAAGTGGCTTTAAAGAAACTAGGCACAAGGATAGGCGCAGTGGCATTGAATAAATTATACTCCAAAAGGGAGAGAAATAAGAAGGTTTGAAATATGTTGAGTATGTATGGGTTTGTAGCTAGCAACAAATGTTTCAAAATACGCTGAATACCCAAACTGTATTATGGCTTAGTGGCAATCAAATGGCTGAACATTAGGATTGTGTCTAAGTACCTGGTAAATCTCAAAACCACATTCTTCACATGTATAGACAGCTACCTGCATCAATGGCTTAACATCTGAACACCGCGTCACAATACCTGATATCCTTACAAGCTGACCAATATGTGAAGCCTTGACCTCCCTAATTGCATATGGCTTCACCTTTCCACTTGAAGATGCTCTTATGTAAACTTCACTAGAATACATATGAAAAAACATTAGTAAATTCAAACATCATAGAAAGCTTCACTACAAATGGAAGTTGAAGCATATGAAACTTATTAATAAACTACAACCGAAGACATGGAATAGATGTAAAAGTAAGTTACCAATATGAATCCGAGATAAACCTCTGTTGAACTTACATCGTACCAGCATATTTTCAAAACATATACTGCAAACCAAACTAGCTAATACCTTTAACAAAATCGACGTTCATTTACTAATGAGTCATGAATAACAAACTAATAAACACAATAGTTAAACCCGAAACAGGAGGTGTATCAGTGTGACCACACAATTCAGTGAATTCACACATTTAGACCGAAATTTCATTCAAACAAGCGCAACCGGAATTAGGATTTTGCTTTGAACTCACAAGTAGCGCTTGATTTCAGGAGGCATCTTCTGGTGTGGATCCGGACCATCCATATTCTCTGGTCCATCATCAGACCTTTGAGTCATGAGTATGTCATGATCATCATCTGTAAATGCCTCTGTGGGCTCCGGCATAAGCTCATCAATAGCATCAGCAAAAATACCAATATAACGCCGAGTATTTTCTTGAACTCGATTGCGGAATTCTTCATCCAATTCTGCGTACTGCATAACACAAATTAACAATTGATTTTGTATAAGAAAATCAACAACTCATTCACAAATAATAATAATAATAATAATTAGGCCTTTGCAACAAAATCCCAAAAGGCATAGGCGGAACTCACACTAAACAAGTCCTCAATATCAATCTCGATAGCTCGAAATTTGCGGTTTGCAACTTGTTGCTGAAAAGTAAAAAACATTTAGATATTGCTGCTGTATAGTCAAATAATTCAGAAAAAAAGAATCCGGCATTCAATCCAACGGCAAATTAGGGTTTTCAGACCGTACTATCAAAGCTTACAAGAAAATGTGGTAAAGAAGAAGAGGGTTACTCACAAGGATGCGCATGTATTTGGGTTCGCCATTCGAATCGGGAAAGTTGGAAAGAAAATCCTTGGCGAGCTCTGTCAAAAATAAAAATGAAAAATAACAAATATTAAATCGAGTATTGACGGAGGAGAGAGAGAGAGAGAGAGAGAGAGAGAGAGAGAGAGAGAGAGAGATCGGTAGACGAAAACTGACCTTTTTCAGCGCTGAAGTCGATGTCCTTCATGGTTGCCGGCAATTGGAGAGAGGGGCAGAGCAAGAGACACACAGACTGAAAAGTAAATGAGAGCTCAGATTTGGCGGCAAAAGACGGATACAGGCGAAGGTTTTGGCGGGAAAATAAGGGGAGGGTAATTTCTTTTCATTGAGCTGGGCCAAGGCCGTAAAAGAAGGCCCATTAGTAGGGCCGGCCCAAGCTCCAAGTAATCGGTTCAACCGTTCAAGATTAATTGAACAGAGATGAGAGTCAAAAAGAATATAATTTTTTATAATTGAGTTGTCTTGACTCTTGTGTTTGTTTACAAGCAATTTGGCCTTGCCTTGTGTTATATAGTGAACAATATCCGGAAAGTTATGGGTTCATTTGAAAGTAGTTTTAGTGAAAATGATTTTGGAACCAATTTAGTAAAAATACAAGTAAATCATGAAAAATCACTTTAGTGTGTCATGTAAGAAGTGTATAACTGGTGTTTCTGGCAAGCACTTTAAGTGCTTTTGAAACCCGAAAACATTTTTTCTAAAAGCACTCCCAGTCATTTTAAAAGCAGTCTAAACGAACACTATATCTCTTGTCAAGGAAATTTTGAGGACATGGCGCTTCTAAAAAGGCTTCAAGGAAAAGTTTCATGCTAACAATTCTCTGGTCTCAAGAATTGGTCTCAAATTTAAAGAAATTTGTGTTTATTGATATCATCGTCGTATTCGGTTACCAAACCGTCATGTCACGTACAAAATGGGGAGGAAATAGAGTGTCATTTCAAGCAAAGGGAATTCTTTGTAATTTCACAAAACCTCAACGGAGGCAAAACAATGGACTCTATACCAAAATACTTCATTTTCCGGGCTGTTCAACTGCAGCCTTGAAGCACTTCCGGATGCGGAGGATGATATTCCAGTGCCAAATCATCTTGCCTCTGTCAAACTAGCTGTAACAAGAAAAATCACTCTCTTCAGAAATACATCTCACTTAAATCGAAGAATCAAATAAGAAACTAAAGGCAAGTTTTAAAGAATAAAGCATGGTACCATACAATGAAAGGTCGCAAAAATCTTCTGTACCTCAAGACAATCGCTAGGGAGAGATTGGCTTCTGTTCCCTGGTCTTAGCCAACTTCAATTGTGTAAGTTTGTCCAAGATGGCGGGCTCTAAAGGAATTGGGTCAAGACAACGCTCAGCTGCTGCAACAATCACCTGCTCCATAGAAATAAGTCAAAACCGATTATTTATGGAGAGAGGTGAAGGAGATTTCAGGCCTCAACCATTCAAAAGTTGGGGCCAATAAAATAGATATGAACTAAGATGGAGAATCTATATGAAGTTACGAGGTTCAGGATGGAGAGCCAAGATTATTTTCTATATACCTCGTCCAGCAGAAAGTCAACGGCAGCTTCATCTTCTGCCATTTCCTTTAAAGGAGTCCTTAGGAACTGTATATCCAACTGAATTTGCTGGAATCCGCTCCTATTAAAAGTTTGGAGTCTGACAAATTCTTGCAAGCTTTTAAGGCAAAGTTTTACCAAGGTCGTTACCACCGACTCCTGCAATTTGCAAGCACAGTCAGTTCATGTTGTTCCTATACCAGTACCAATACTGGTTCAAGCAACAACTAGTTCATTACCTGCGTAAAATCAACTTTCGTAAATATTTCAACTTTTTGCTTAAAAAGTTTTGCTAGATGGGTTTCCAACAGCTGGCTTCTAGCCCTCTGGGTGTTTGACCGACTTAATTTTTCCTCTCGTAATGGGTTGCTCCGAGATGAGGCAGTGCTTCCGTTGCTGTCAGCCCGGCGATGTCTGCGAATGCCTTGGGGCAAAATCTGCTTAACTTCACTTCTAATTGCTTCCAACTAACACAGGAAAGAAAGGAATGAAATGTGCAGAGCAACTGATAACAAATAATAGATTTAACAAACAAGGTACCAAACGAGTTCTCTCAACTTGACTCTTATTCCAAGAGAGTATTAAATGGCAGGGGGAAACAAATTATGTACTGACCTCTTGAAGAAATAAATCAACAAACATATGAACTTCGCGGGGTTCCTTGTGCTGCAAAAATGTTGAACAATATAGACAAATTAAAAGTACTTACATGGTAGTAAGTTTAATCCTTTCTTAATAGTTTAGTGCAAATGATATACTTCCTATTATTCAAATATTGCCTAACAAAAAGTGTACCTGGACCCAATTTGGTGTTGTGAACCTCTTCTTTAAGAGAACTGATATCCGCTGAGTTCTCATATTTATGTACTGAAAAGAGAAGATCAAAACATTATATGTTATCAAACTTTTGTCTGCATAATAGATAAAAGTGGTTTGATCATGGTCGCCCAATGAATAAAATGCATTTTGAATAACCCTACAATGTGCAGAAACTTTTCACCCGCTGAGCGGAAAATCCGACAGATTTCTCCAGGAATGAAAGTAGGTCCGTATTCATAGCCTCTAACACCACCACCAGAAAAGGAAGCAGCTATTTCCTGACAATTAGAATATGAAACTTCAATACAAACCCCTGAGGACATGGAAAGAAGTATAACTCGGGTATTGATATTTTTTAAGGAACAAAACAAGTTGTTATTAGTTGGCTACTTGCCTCGGTGATTCTTGGGATGGCATTTTGTTCAATGAAAACAGAAACTTGGGCCAGCACGAGGACAAGCCCAGCCAGAACTTTGTCATCTTGTATTCCCTCTGTCAAACCTTGATCTTGACTGGCTGAACTATTCTTTCCTGAAAGCAAGAGAAAGTGACCTTCAAGTGCCCTGAAGAAGTCTTGAAACCCTTCTTGGACCCAATCAACAATCAAGTCTTTCAGTTTAACCAGCAGTTCCAAATTATCATCTAGAAGTTGGCGGAAGTCCTGAAATGCAATGATAGAATAAAGAGATAAGTATCCACTTTTCCCCCTTCTGATTAGTAAAATAGCCTTGCATTTTGCAATGGGGAGAAGGAGGATGAACTTAACAGCAAGAGACGAAAAAAATATATTATAGAAATGCAAAAATTTTAAATGGGAAAATGTTTAGACCCATGTTCCAAAAACACCAAAACAAATTAAAAATAGCTGCCGCATACATGCAGTCCCAGTGCATTCAACCATGACCTTCGGGAAGCATGTGTGTCCAAAAACACATTAGCAAATCGCTACCATTCGAACAATCATAGGCTAGAAATGTACATTAATATCTATATAGAAGGAATTATAAACAGTTTCAGTTTCAGCTTCAGCTCTACTGGCAACACAGGAATCATCTATCATGTGTACATCCGGTACAAAAGAGAGATGAAGCTGTAAATTGATGCAAGCTTAGTTTATGTGCAATAACATAGACTACTTAGTATCTCATACATTACCAGTAAGACATCCATGCTGCCTTGGAGCACTGCCTTTTTTCCGCCCTCCAGAGCAACTTGTAAGGAATACTCTTCTCTGTCCTTCTGTCTAGTGTGGGCTTTTGTGAGGGCATCTGCCAGTTCAAACAAATTCAACTCAAGTTACTCAACACAAGGATAGCATAAAAAGATAGAAGTTTAAACAGAAAAACATGGCCTTGGATAGGGCTGTTGGCATAAAAGAATCCATCTTGACCCTAATTAGTTGAGCTTGAGAATCAAGATTACGGTTTAAGAATCAAAAGAACTTAAGAACAAATAACTCACAAACTAAGAAATAATAACCTGAAATGTTGTTTAGGAGATGAGAAAATTTGTTGCTAACATATACTTTCACAGTAACCCGAGCAGCCTGAAGAACACAGATTAATCTATATGCTTAAAAACCATCCTTCAACAGTAACAAGAAAATAAAATCTGCTATGATTCCTGAGAGTGTGAAAGAAAATTTCAAACTTTATTATAAAGATAAATTGAAATAAAACTAAAAGGGAGACCTCCAGAGAATAATCAGAGAGAGCAGCCTCATTTAACACATCATCCATCAGAAGTACATCTCTCCATATAATCCCTGCATGCAGATGGGCTTTTGTTAAAGTTCTCATAATATAACAATACCCAACTAAATACTTAAAATAGAACAAATGGTGACGAGTTGATGGATTTTTATGGTGTTAAAATCTCCATTTGTTAAAGGAGGGGTAGATGTAGAGCAGTGTTAAGGATGGTGTACTAGCACATTGGTCATACTTACGAAGAACTCCTAGTAGATCTGCTGACCAGATTTCTGTCTTTATGTATTGCTCAGTGGTTTTGAAGTGCCTAAACAAACAGCAATTACATTCCGTGAGCAAACTGCTACCGTACAACAAAGTATTTTAAATTAAGAAACTCCCTTACCCGGCAACCAAGTCTTGTGCAAGCTTGGTTAGTTGCGTATCCGAATCAGGAAATATTACGCGATAAGCACGGACAGCCTCCGCAAACTCACGAACAGAAGTCTAAATTGAGTGCAAATAAGTTAGTGATTCATCAGTGCAGTTATAAGTTACAGACATTGAAGAGAAAGAGGGAGAGCATATGTAACCGAGCAGAGAGTAATCATGAAGCACAAGGGGGAAAACTTAATGCCTATTTAAGTTGAATAGAAACTTTTGGTACAAGTACTATGTTCGTCTAAATTTAACCTATTTCTCTCACTTTGTTCTAATATCTTTAAAGGTGTAAATAATCACTCTCCAACAATTTTAAGATGAATACTTCATGCAGTGAGTTTATTGTTAACTACAGATCAGGTACATACATAGATGTGCCAAAACCAGCCAGTCCCGAGAGAACTTGGTTTACCAATGTAAATGGTTATTATATTTTATAACTAAACGACAGTAAGAGCCTTTGCAACATAAGTTGCATCATAAATTGACTTATATCACATCATAAGGTGAAAGAACAATTTCCATTACAAAGTTTTTTGGGGGTTCTTTTCAGTTCAAGTCGTCACACACAACTTGCCAAAGATGAAAAACCAAAATGATGCTCCACTAGTCCACTGTCAGATACTCACCTCATGTGCAGTAGCAGGAACTGTGTCCGTAGAAGGATCATTAGAATCCAGTGAAGCATTGCCTATATCTTCTATCTTAAGCTGAAGGCCAGCAACAGATTGTTCCAACTTCTCAAGCAACTTCACCTTTAAGCTGTCAACCTGCCAAATGCAGGCAATATGTCATCAGGCAAAAAAAGATTAATGGAATTTTCTTTTCAATGCATTTTCTTTGCTGAGATTCTTCTTGTGAACAAAAAATGTCCACATCCATGCCTTCACTTACTAAGAAATTTAAAATACATTAGGACTTGAAGAACAAAAAACAGGATAACCTATTTTTGAAATGTCTACCAATTTCTTGTGAGTATTGTTCACACAATTTAATTGTAACAATATAATATTGAATACGTTTTTTATAGTTAAAGCCATGATGTGTTAACACGGTAATATGTAATCTAAATGGCAAACTTAAATAAAAGTGCAGTACAGACTGGGAAATCCAATTGCTTAAGAAGCACAGCAGCCTCAGCTCTTGCTTGTATGGATTCAGAATCTGAGAACAGCTTTCCCTGAAAAGAATAATTTGGAAAATCATAAGACAAGTTTTCCAACAGCACACATCCAGTTGCAGTCAGTAAGTTATTCGGCATGAAATTATTATTTTAAACATTAACTTTAACAACATCTCAGATGTGAATGTCCATTCTTCTGTCAACGTATGCTTAAGAAAGTACAGTAATAAGACACAGATACACAATAAATGGCTAATAAGAAATAGCTTGATAGCTAGTGAAAAATGTCATGCCTTGATTCATAACTTTTACTTCATCTAATAGGATACAGCTTACTCATGAGCATGAACATCTCTCTCACATGACTCACAGCAATCCCAAGAGCTCAGAGAGCTTATTTTAGGACGACACATGCATCATATTACTGAAACATTGTATTCATCCAAGGGAATGTTTCCCACATGTTTCAAGCAGTGGCCTTTCACGAAAAGAGATTACATGGCAGTACCGGAATGTTACATCTTAAAACTAATCCTGTGTCCGAGATATAGGCACAATCCTAACACACTGCATAATCCCTTACCAATATTGATGCTAATAATTCCACCAAAAACTGCATAACGCCTATCCATGTATTAAAGCAAATGGAGTTATGTATTAAATGCCCCTAAACATATAAACTATGACACTATCCAACTAAAAATTACTACCTCAACTGCAGAAACTTAACAAGAACCCCCAAGAGAAACGTTGCAAGGGAAGTAAGGATAAGACATCTACTTGTTTCTTGTTAGGTATGGGTAGAGAGAAAAACCAGTCTCGCCATATTATAAAATGGAAAGAAAGAGAAAGAAAAAAGGATAAACCTGCAAATTCTTGATAATTATGGTCACAGCTTCTTCAGATGCTCGCTTACAATCCTGGAATGAGGAGTCTCCATATGCCTAATTGTGGACAGCCCAACCACAAAGAAAGAAGACACAATGTAAATAAAACTCCACACAAAGGTAAACTCTGGTCCCGAAGGCAAAAGATCATAGGAGATAGAAATTACCTTAAATATTGGTATTGCTCCTGTATAAAATTTGACCGCATCAGCATATGCTTCTGATTTGATGCACTTCCCGAGCCTAGCAGGTAGATCATATATGAACTGCCGTTCCACAAAAAAAAAGAAATTTATGTAACCCACAAGGCCAGACACTGAAATTAAAACTGAAGTGTCATGAAGTCACACATATATTGCTCGCCAACCTGAACTTTACGAAGAAGGTTTCGTGTGCGATGCAACTTTTCTATGTGTTCCCTCTTCTCAGAAAGAGAAGTGTTGACCCCATCACTTCTAGATTGCACAGACATTATCTGCAATCATTGTCAATGTGAAGTAAGCTACTATTACACTCCTTTTTTCCTTCTTTTTCCTCTGAAAACAAAAACATAGCTTGAGCGAGACTCAGTTAAAGTATAAACAATTGGACGTACCTTCTCAAGGAGCTGTTCCATATTTGCCTCCATCCCCACAATATTACTTTTCATCCTGTTGGAAAAATTATCCAAGACCAGAACATTATAAGAGACTCTTGGTTATATTATCTACAAGCTGAAACATGATAAATGATATGGTGGGTAGCAGAAATTTCGTCAACATGTAAATATAGACATATAAGTAAAAAAAATAAAGACTTACTGTTTAATAGTATCTGTCGCGCTAATAAACTTGTTGTAGTTCTCGTATACTAACATTTGTAAGTCAGTATCAAGATTCTTTATCTCAGCAGCCATTTGAACATGTCTCTGTAGAAGCCCTTCCAAGTTTGACTTGTGTACCTGCAAAGTTCATAAAACTCTAAATGCTGATTCAAAATTCGAATTTCTGCCTCATATTTGATAACAAAATCAGCGTATTAATCATTCAATATACAAATGCCACAAATCACGCTCAATCAACTTATTGGAGAAAACATACATCACCATATGAAATCAACAGCATTCCTACAAAGTCCTCTACCCTGATTCTGAACCAAATGCCCGTCTCCAATTCTGCTACGAAAACCAATGGTTCGTTCCACTCCACAAAATTCCCAGCTCAATTCAAAACAACTTGATGACATTTTTTTGAGCAGCCACTAATTCCATTTTTCACCTCTACAAACTTCGATACGACTTAAATATTCATAAATTTCCAGACACAGCCTTCCAATTCAACCTTAAATCTGCCCTAATTACCAGTAACGATTACGATTGTCCCAAAATTAAGTAAACAAAACAGCTGAATCAATCATGTATTTGGTAAAAGATAAGAGTTGGAGATCGTACGAGGAGATGCATGTACTGGTCGGGATCGAAGGAGGTGGAGTTGATGGCATCGAGAGTGGCGTACTTGGACGATGACTTAGAGTCGGGAGACGACAGCGAAGGGTCTGGGGAGTAGAAGCTCGACAGCAGATCCCTCATCCTCTTCGCCTTGTCGTCCAGCGGCACCTCGTCCACATCCATTTCTACTTTTCTTCTTCTTCTTCTTCCTCAACCTTCAGTCTCTGTGATCCGAGATTTGGCGCCGCTGGAATGTAACCGGAATTTTGTAACAGGATACAGTTATGATTTTGTTAAACGACGTAGTCCTTTTGACTATTTGAACCCTTACATACCTTCGTAATGAATTTTTATTAGTTTTTATTACTCCTCTGCAAATTTTTAAGAAATGACAACTTCTATAATTATCTTCGAGAAATGTTCAGCGATTCATTTAAAATTGAGACTCTTCGTATATTATTTGTCACTTTATATTTTTAAGATTTGCACGAAAATTGAAGTTAAACTGTGACGTGATAGAATTCATGAAGAGTCAATTTTGAAATAATCTCTTTAGCATTAATTTGCTTTACTATGGCTTGAAGAAGATTAGAGAGAGTAATTGCAATTAAGACTTTTTCTTTTTTGCACTAACTTATCAGAGCTATTTTGAACACTCATAAACAATCAACTCATAACTATCACTATTTTTTTTCTAAAACTATTTGGAACATTCCTGAGCCTTGTTCTTTGCGTATCTATTTGGATAGATCACTCGTTTAGATATAAGCAACAAGATTTCATTCAAAACTATCACTAATTTTAAAATCATGTTACAAGTAAAATATTTGATCATTGCTAGTTACCAAAATGAAGATCACTAAGTTGATTTGTTTTGTTATGTGAGTTTTTATGTTGTTGAGACAAAAGCAATAGTGGAGGAGGAGGACTCGAAACTAAGATACTGAGTGCACTAGTGAATTTTATTAACCACTTGAGCTACAATTTATTATGTTTTATTTTTTAACTTCATGAAAAGGCTTTGTCAAATATCACTAACATGGGCCATGGCTACTTGCATAGCCGGGCTATAGCAGAACTGAGCTCAAAGAGTAAAAAGTCAATTGTTTATCTAAGCCCAGTAAGCCCATAATGTCTTATACCATATTTTAACACTAATGATACAAATAAACGACTGTTATGATGTCATTTTTATACAATTTGTGTCTTGTATAAAGTGTATGTGTTAAATTGATTAATTTTGAAGTTGTCTTGACCTTCTTGGTTTAGACAATGACCATGTTCATTTGTTCATGTATAAAATAAGTTGCTTATCTATCACACAAAGTAAAAGTTGTTTTACTAAAATAAAATAAAATATATTGCAGCGGAAATACTTTACAAACAAGCAACAAATAGATGCAACCATCAGAAAAATAAAAATGTCAACGAAGTTGCACCAAAGAAGCAACAACAAAAACTAATTATATGTGGGGATATTTCATTTTCGCTAAATAGACTCATTAATAGCAGAATGAGCAACTTTCAAGTTAGGCCGTATAGGTCACTGTGGTGACTCCGGCTGAGTGGGATATTGAGCTATAGAATCAGCCGTACAGGACCACTGTAGGGTCTCCGGTTGATTTATTATTTCACCTGATTTATATTGATGCATTCATATTATATTTTGGCATGGCATAGCATATTCTTTCTGAAAAGCGTTGAAAGATTGTGAGCTGACTTTGATGATATATGTATATATGTTTTATAATAAATTTCTGGGAAAGTATACAGGTTTTACGGTGAGGGGTTAGAAACGTTTTAAATGAAATGTTTTGGAAAATCTTTGGTTTTACTGACCCACTCATCTTTGTTTTGCGCCCCTCCAGGTTCTAGTTAGCAGTTGGTGGCTCACGAGGTCTTTTTCGACGTTCTGACAGACGTTTTGCATGTATGACTCACATGCGGGTGTAGTACTTTTAATTATAGTCATACTTGACTGCACTTGATACCTACACTCTGAATTCGTGTGTTTTACTTTATAACTCACTCCTTTATGCTAGTAGGTTATTACTGCTAGTGGTTGTTTTAAATTCCTTCATATTTCTATTATATCTTGCTTCCGTGTCACACTTTTGGCTACGTCACGCTCACGTGACGGCCAACACGCCTTGATTCTAGGATCGGGGTGTGTCAATTAATGATTGAATTATTACTTAAACATTGATAAGTCGTAAGTGTGGTCATTTTATATTAATAACATATTATTTAATTTGTAAATTTAATCTTCATAGCATTATTCATAAAAAAAAAACAATTGAGAAGCAAATGCGTGAAAAACAAAACAATTGAAAATAAAATGATAGAAAAGGAGAAAGTTCCTGCCTTCTGTAATATTCAGAGCATAATGCCATGGTGTGTGCAGCTACCCTTTTTTCAGGACTTGGATTCTCTGCCCCCCTAATTCGGTGCCCTCTTTGTGTCATCCTATTTGTATGGTCATGGTTAAGCCACGTTAATATTTTATATTATTTTTTTTTGTCTTATTATTTTTATAAATAACAATATAAAATGTTAGCATGAATTAACCGTGACCACACAAAACAGGAGGGCACGGGAGGGCAGAGAATCCAAGTCCCTTTTTCCATCGTGTAATTAATGGCAAGATGCGTTAGCAAAAATGGGCTGTCCTTGCACTGTACTTTTATATATATATATACAGAGAGCTTAAGGGGAGGGATCCCCATTTTTTCAAAAAAAATGGGGACACGCTCCCCACCGTTAGATTGACTTTAATGAAATTGTGTGGTTGAGATTAAAACACAGGCCACAGAATCTCAACCACAGGATTTCATTTAATTCAAATCCAACGGTGTGGAGCGTGTCCCCATTTTTTTGAAAAAATGGGGATCCCTCCCCTTAAGCAATTCCTACAATTTCATTAAAGTCAATCTAACGGTGGGGCAGCGTGTCCCCATTTTTTTTGAAAAAATGGGAATCCCTCCCCTTAAGCTCCCTGTATATATATATATATATTATTGCGCTCCATTGGGCTGATATTTCAAGAGACCTTCCATAAAGGCGAAGGGCCAAAGGCAAAACGAAATGATTGCTTGAATGAGACTTGGACCCGCGCGGATATAATCTTTCTTTTTTTCCAAGTCTTTAAATTTTTTTTTGAGAATAATTATTTTCCCTTTTAATCTATCTCTCATTTTCTCAAATCCTATTTGTTTAGTCACGTCAACATTTTATATTTATTTTTTTATAAAGACAATAAGATAAAAAGCAATAGGTGAGAGGAAGGAATGTAAGAGATGAGAATAAAAAAGGGGAGAATTCTACTCCAATTTTTTTTGTAAGAAAACTAATGAAAATAGCTTGAAAATTTTGAGTTTTAACGATAAAGACAAAATAAATGATAAAGTGAATAGTATATTAATTGATTTTTTAGTGTAAAAATGTGGTTTTTCGTTAAAATGAACAGTACCGAGAACTTTTCGTTAAGTTTTTTTTTTTTTTTCACTTGGCATGGGTCCCACTCGGTCACCATTGTCTTTATGGATTGAATGATAAAAAGGGCAGCTCACGTGGAATCCTGAACCAAAAGACTTAGATTCGGATTAAGGTCACTCAATATTATAGTTTGGTAGTATTTTTTTCATTTATAAGTGAGAGATTTTAGTTCGAATATCATGGATAACAAATTTGATATCAAATTAAGTTATCTATTGTGTGGTTTAACAAAACTCTTCATCTCTTTAGTGTAAAAATATATCTTTGTACTCAAAAGATTTGGATTAAGAAATTTTTTCCTTAGAAGGTGAATTAAAGATCAATTTTCCATTTTGTTGGGTATGGCCCATACCCTTTACTCAATCCAAAAAGAACGCGAAGAACAAATTTCACCTACCCTTCTGCTAAGGGTAAGTAATTTTCATATGAGAAGAGATCCTTTTTGGATTTCTTCCATCAAGATTACTCGATCAAATGATCCGGACCTTTAAAATTTCATCCAACGATCCACCTATTTTTACCCCTTAAAAGCTATAATAATTTTTTATTGTGATGAAATTTCTCTTCTAGTATATTAGTTGTCCTAATTTGATAACTGGAATTTTATTTACTAAGAGAGAAATATGTATGCACAATGACAAATGAAAATTCGATTTGAATACGTATTATAAGTTTTAGAATTGTCTAGTCTTGCGCACCACTAAATTTTAGCACTCTTAAACGGAGTATGATTCTCTTCCTTTCTAATTTTATTATTTTATTTTTCTTTTATTTTTTCTTTCATTTGAACGATCACGGTTAAATCACATCAATGTTTTATGTTAATTTTTTAATAGTGAAATATGTGAGAGGAGGGAAGAGAATGAGATGAGAATAGAAGATGAGAGAATCTTACTCCTTCTTAAATAAGGGTGACCAAATTGGAGTAGGATTATCTCCTCTTTAAATCCCTCTCCTTCTTCTCTCCTCTTACACTTTTCTTTTCATCTTTTTTTTTACAAAAAAATCAATATAAAATGTTTACGTAAATTAATCGTAACCGTTTGAATACGAAAAAAATGATAATTTTACTAAATAAAGGAGAACTTTCCATTGTGATTTAAATGATAAACAATTTAGTGGACAAGAGAAACAAAATAATATTTTTCTTGTTCTAGCCTTCTAGGTTGATGGTATTATAATTTTTTAACGTATTAGCCGTCCTCGCCATTGACGTCAGCCATGACGCACCAAATTAGCATTTAGTTGAAAAAGGTCATTAATTTTATCATTTTCCACACCTACCAAGCCCTCTCATCTCCCGCTATAAAAGCCCATTCCCACACCCTTCTAAACCTTCTTTCTCCTTCCGTCTCATTTCGCCTATCTTTCTCCGCTGCGCGTTTGCCTTTCAGATAAGTCCTCCTTCCCCTCTTTTCTCTCTCTAGATTTTCATTTCCGCTTGCTTCTCCTTCGTTGGATCCGAAATCTCTGATCAGATTCTAGATCTGAGGTTCAACTTAGGGTTTTTTTTTTTGAGGTTCTTGAAATCCAATTCGATCGGATCTGATTTGGGGGCTTGGAATCTCTGGGTTCGTAGAAATCTAAATCAATGGGTCTAGTCTTTCTATGACATTATGTATCGTATCCGTCTTCTCCACTCGTTCTCCGTTGTCTTCCTCTACTGGTTCTACGTTTTCTCATGAATTAATCGCATCAATTCCTTGCCTCCAATTCGAATCCCAATCCTAATTTTATTTTCGCCCCAATTCTTTCAACCTAATCTAATTTAGGTAACAAACATCAATTCCTAATTTTTGCAATTCTTGGGTAAATTACCCGAAGAAAGGAAGAAATGTCTTCGGTTCAGCGCCAATCAAGCTCAGGATCCGACGGGTCCGCGACGGTGGACGAGAAGAAGAGGAAGAGGATGCTGTCCAACCGCGAATCCGCGAGGCGTTCGAGGATGAAGAAGCAGAAGCAGATTGATGATTTGACGACTGAGATCACCCGTCTGGAAATGTCGAACAATCAGGTTCGGCAGACGGTCGATGCCAGGGAGCGGAGCTACAATGAGATAGAGTCTGCAAACAATGTGCTGAGAGCTCAAGCAATGGAGCTCACCGATCGACTGCAGTCCTTAAACTCGGTCCTCCATATATTCGAAGAGGTCAGCGGCTTCTCGGTCGACATCCCCGAGATGCATGATCCTCTGCTTAAGCCATGGCAGCGCCCCTACCCGTCGCAGCCCATCCCGGCCTCCTCCAGCATGTTCTTCATTTGATGACGATCTTCAACGCTTCTGTCTGTCAGTGTTTTGGTGGTGTTTGTCTTTTGATTTCGATTTTAGTTGTTGGGTTTATGTTAGCCTCAGTTGTTTTAGGTGTCTTTAATTAATAGTTGTTGTAGTCAGTGTCTTTGCACAAGCTTGTTTCATGATGGATTAGCAGTACATTTGGGTTTGATGTTGGAACTTGGAACCGAACCGCGTGTACAATGTTGTTCATTTTGTCTGTATAAATCAAATGTCTGTACGGTGGTTGTTAGCTGTGGAATGTGCAGAGTTGCTCATTTTGTTGGTAATTGAAATTGTTCCCAAACGCTAAACCTTCATAGGTTTGATAATCTATTTCTAAGACGATATTCAAAACTACACTCCGGTGATACAAACTTGCATTCGAGTACAAGGGGCACACCCTATCAATCAAGATTGATACGATTAATTGACTTAATTCACGTCTGCTGGTTGGAATTGATTGTTTAAAGATCGATTTTTAAGCACACAACCTACAGAATTATAAGATTAAACCACACTTCATATTAATATTATAGTTAACGTGTGTTTAGTGAAAAATAATGAACTTCCCCCATTGAGCTTGGACAGGGTCCCAAGCAAAAGCAACAGAAAATTGGAAAAGGGGGGAGGTTGTCCCACAACTCCCACATGCTATGCATGATGTACCAGTCACCACCCAAATAACCAATGATTCATCCATGCGTTGAGCACGAACAATTGGTCTAGTTGCACCACCAAGTCTCTACATAGATAAGCCTTAGTTTTCAATTCTGTTCATCATCGTAGTGGCGTTTCTTGCTAATAACACAAGAACATATAATAAAAAAAACCCAACACATGTCCTTGCATCAGTGACACAGGAAAGCACGTAGTAGTACACCCGTTTTATGCAAGTTTTTTTCTCATAAAGACGAGATTACATATATATTTGTAATAAGTATGACAATAAATTGTCAATCAGCTTGGCTTGTTGTAGTGAACTATTGAATACGACTTTCAATCATTTTGGTTCTTTTTCTAATTTTCCCTATTATAAGTTCCCGATTCATTACTTATCCCCGGCCCTACGATAATACCTCCAGTATTTAATTGATAATTGACGAGATCAACATTTTTAAAATACAATTAAAATCCCTTTCCACAAATAAAATATGAGATTCAAATAGTAAAAAAGAAGGGCAAAGCTTGTTTATAATATTTGGAAGCTGATAAAGTAATCACCAATTACGTTAAACATATATACGATAACATGCTACTGTATCATATCATCATGCAAAATAATTATAAAAAACATTCCAAATCAAGATTTTCATGATAGTATCCCAACAACAGCTTCAGTTTAGTCCATCTTAATTAACATAAACAGAGACGGAGAAAGTACTGTGAAATCTAAAGCACGACAACCTCAAAGCCGGGCCAAGGCACAGGCAGATTGAGATCGACCCATCAGTCGTAAGTACGGCACTCGTCGGTTTCGGGGTTGTCCTTACAGAATGTCTCCAAGGGGTCGGAACTTTTCTCGTTGGCACGTTTGTGGCTGGCGGCAGCGCTCAGCTCCTCCACCTCGTCCCACGCCGCCACGCACTCCCCGCTTGCCGGGTCGTCCGAGCACTTCTCCTCGGCGCTCTTGATGCTTTCCGCTACCTTTTCCGACAGTTTATCCGGTGCTGCGGTTACTGGCCTTACCAAGGTCATGCGGCGGCCAACGGAAGAGTAGCTTCTCCAGGTGGGGATGTTGAGCGATTGAAATGCCCTCGGTGCCTCTGTTGTTTTTGACAACACTGCCCTTGGGGTGGAGAGGCTCACTCCGGCGAGTGTAGTGGTGGTTGCCATTTCTCCTTCTCTTTCTTTCGGGTTTCGAAGTGGTGAGGTGATAACGAGCATGAGGTTTAATTGGTGTTTCCAACGTTTCACGATCGCACACTTCTTATCATATCACAGCCAATCATCTACTTCCACGTCGGAAACACTTGAGATATTTTAGGGGAAAATAATCACAGTTTTGAAAATGGGTTCTCAGTAGTGTTCTGAACCACTTTTTCTTTATTTATTGTATTCTGTTGAATAATTGAGATTCCATCTCAATTATTTTTGTACGAGTCATGGTCGACTAGTCCAAGTGGCCATGTGCGACTGTTGGTAAAGATGCCTTCTCGGTGAAGGCCTTGATATGTCTTCTCTTCTCATTTCAAATCATCAGTTGATAGAGCAAGAGACTCGTTCTTGAAACCTTCCATCAGCCGGCTTTGAGATCGAGATCCCCGAGTCCTGTACAATTTCAATTTCAATAACAAACTGTGAGGTAATTTTTAAATACAATGGGAAATGATGCTAATTTCTTATATTAATCCTAGAGATCCTAGAGTGTGTTTACCTGCACCCGACGGCTATATTTCAGGTGAAATATTCCTGATCTTAATCGACTTTTATTCCTTTTAAGAAAGTTCTGAAGGAGATCTTCTCTTCGGAAAGACCTCTGGATGAAAGAGATACTTACCTTTGTAAAACGTTGTGCAGTTTTTATAAGGATGGACAATTTTCATGGCATTACCCTCACGTGGTAGTGGTACCAGGTATGGATCTGGGAATTATCAGCGTGACAGGTCAGTTAAATTTTGTTAGCTGTATGGCTTGTAGGATTCAGCAACAAATTGCTAGTCTAAAAGTAAATTCTAAACATGATTATAAGCATGAAAAGATTTACCGAGTTAGAACAACAAATTTCTGTTATAAAGAAAATTGTTAAAAGAAATAAGAGTGTTGAATTTCCAGATATAAACGGAATAGTAAACACTTTAGCCACTAAAGAACAAATAGACCAAGTTTTTGTGAGTCTAGCTTTAAGACTAGAAAAGCTTGAAAATATAAACACTTGCAGAATCTATAAATTACATGCAGGTAAGACCATCTCCAACCGAAGGCTGATCAGATGGCTCGTTTTAACCTTCTAACCCTCTAAGATATTAATATTTTAATGAACAGTACATGGTTATATTTTCCTCAATCTCCAACCGAGGGCCAGGTGGCTCATTTTAGCCCTGTCATAAAAAACCATCTCCAACCGAGGGTTAAAGGACTATAGTATGAAATGTGAATAATTGAAATAAAATAAATTAAGACAGTATGGAATGGTGAAAAATAAGTGAGAAATGGTGTAGGAAAAATTAGAAAAAAAAAAAAAGTGGGCTATTAAAAAATAAATAAAAAAGTGGGCTGGGGCCAAAAAAGTTCATAAACCCTAAACCTAAAGTGGTCTGGAAGCCCTACAGTGGGCTGAAATAACAAAATAAATAAAGGGGAAACTTGATATAACTCCAATTTTTTGAGCCAATAGTAGGAATAGTCCAGTTTATTAAAATAAGTCCAATTCTTTAAATTTAATTATTTAATTATCAATAATTATCTCTTAAAAGAAAAAACTTATTGTAAAAATCAAATTTCTCTTCCTAATTATCTCTTTGATTATTTCTTTTTATTTATTTATTTGTTATTTCTTGTTCTTCCTCCTGCTTTAACCCATTTATAGATTTTTTTTAATTTTTATAATCAACTTATATCACAGGGTAATTGTATTTGTCTACCTATATGACATATTCTTTTTCAAGTCAACCTGTCACAGATTAATGTGTTTTACTCGTAGGTATATTATGTTTTTTTTCTACCTTTTAGTTAGGTTTTATATCTCACTTAAAGGTATAATATACATTCATATATTTGCTACTTGAGTTATGGTAGAATGTTTTGCAGATAGATTTATGTTAGTATATTAATTTTTTTTTTGTTTATAAGATATTAATTAGATATTTTGGAGTTGAAAAATGCATAATATTAAAATTTTAATTGATTTTTAATATTTTTAGAAAATATAAAAGGAGTATAAAAGAAATAAAAACATATAATTAGATAACTTGAGTCACTCCTAAAAACACTCTATGTTTTTGGACTTGTATAAAAAAGCCCCATAAATAAATAAAATGGGTTGAGCAAGTGGAAAAGAAAAAAAAAGCAAAAAACAAAATGGGCTAGCCAGCAAGCTAGCTGGTTGGCCGATTGGCCCTCTAGCCCCTTTTTGTCCCGTGGGGCCCACGAGTCCTTTGGCCTAACTTTCGGTTGGAGACGATTTTAGGGCTATTTTTGGCCATTTGGCCATCTGGACCCTTCGGTTAGAGATGATCTTAAATTTGATAAAACCATCACAGATTTATATGGAACTATAGAATCACTTAGAGGAATATATGCTAAAATCAAACCACCTGATCATACATATAAGAGTATGAACCAAGGTAGAAATATCTAGATGGAGACATATATAATTTTACAGATTTAAGTTGGATAGAAGAAGACCTAGCAAGTTTGAAGCTAGAACATTCTGAACCAGAAGTAGTTTTTGTAGACCAAGCTGAAGGTAGCGGAGATAAGAAAGAAGACGAATTTGGAGTTATACCAAACAACTCTAGCTGCTATAGGACAGGAACTTAGACCATCTCCAACCGAATGGTCCAAAGGGTCAGAAGACCGAAAATAGCCTGAAAATCGTCTCCAACTGAGGGTTAGGCCAAAGGGCTCGTAAGCTCTACGGGATAACAACGGGCCAGAAGGCCAACCAGCTGGCTAGCCCAGCCAGTTTCTTTTTTTTTTTCTTTTTTTCTTCTTTCAGGCCACTTTAGGTTTAGGGTTTAGGAACATTTTTGGTCCCAGCCCACCTTTTTTTTTTTTTTTATGGATGTTTTTTTAATTATTTAATTATTTCTAATTTTTTTCTTACACCATTTTTCACATATTCTTTACCATTCCATACTATCTTACCTTATTTTATTTCAATTCTTCATATGCCATACTATAGCCCTTTAGCCTTCGGTTGGAGATAATTTTTTTTTGACAGGGCTAAAACGAGCCCTCTGGCCCTTTAGTCATCGGTTGGAGATGGATGCAAATATAACCCTATACTGTTCATTAAAATATTAATATCTTAAGGGCCAGGGGGCTAAAATGAGCCCTCCAACCGAATGGTCCAGATGGCTAGAAGGGGCGAAAATAACCCGAAAATCGTCTTTAACCAAGGGTTAGGCCAAAGGGCTCATGGACCCCACTGGACAAAAAAGGGCCAAAGGGGCAACCGGCTGGCCCAAAGAAGCCAGCCAACTAGCCCTAGGCCGAGCCATAAATTTGAAACCAATGGCTAGCTGACGTCAGCTAGCAACGGCTAGGTGATATCAATTACCGTTATTTATTTATTTTTTTTGGGCCAAATTTTTTTTTTAAATATTTAATTATAGGCCTAGAAAGTATGTTTAGTTAAATGTTTGGGTGTTCTTTTTATAGGCTTTGGAGTTTGCTTAAATCTCTCCCACAACAGATGTGGGACTCCCACTTCCTTTTTTTCTACTTCCTCTCCCACAGCCGATGTGGAACTCTCCCACCCACTTCTTTTTTTTTCTTTTTTTTTTAATTTTTTAATTTTTATATACTCAAGATAAAACCTATCACATTTGACTTGATATATATAAGTTGTATTTTTTTAAATTTTAGTTGTAGTTTTTAAATTTAAGTTGTTGTAGTTTTTAAATTTAAATAATAAATTATTCTTGGCCCTTTGGCCCTCGGTTGGAGATGATTTTTAGTGACAGGGCTAAAACGAACTCTATGACCATTTGACCCTCGGTTGGAGATGATTTTTAGTGACAGCGCTAAAACGAGCACTATGATCCTTTGGCCCTCGGTTGGGGATGGTAAGGCCATCTCCAATCGAAGGGTCCAGAGGGCCAGAGAGTCGAAAATAGCCCTAAAACCGTCTCCAATAGAGGGCTAGGCCAGAGGGCTCGGGAATCTGGAAGGGCCCCACGGAATTTCAAAGGGCCAAAGGGCTGGCTATTTTTTTTATAGTTCTCCTATTGCTGTCGGTTATAACCGACAACATTAAAGAAGAATTTTTTAATACTGTCGGTTATAACCGACTAACCGACAGTAATAGGTATTCATAGGCAATTTTTTTTTTATTTACTATTAGTGTCGGTTATAACCGACACTAATAGTTTGAAATTGTTTTGAATATAATGGCTAGTTGTTGTAGCTAGCTGTTGGGTTTTTTTATTTTATTTTTATTATTATTAATTTTTTAATTTAAACATTTCTTTTCTTCTATAAATATGGTGAAGTTCTTTCAATTCTTCACTTCATTTGCAATATTTCCTTCAATATATTTCTCAATATTTCCTTCAATATATTTCCAATATTTCCTTCACCTATAATATTTGTTTCAATTTTTCAATAATTTCCTTCAATATTTTTTCAATAATTTCCTTTGAATTTAAGTTGTAGTTTTTAAATAATAAATTATGTTTGGCCCTATGACCCTCGGTTGGAGACGGTTTTTTGTGAAATGGCTAAAAAGAGCCCTCTGGCCCTCTAGCCCTCAGTTTGAGACGAAGGCAAATATGGCCCTGTACTGTTTATTAAAATATTAATATCTTGGAGAATCTTGGAGGGCCAGAGGGCTAAAATGAGCCATCTGGCCATCCATTGGTTAGAGATGGCCTAAGGAATATGACCCTACACTATTCTTTAAAATATTAATTTCTTTGCCCTCTGGCCTTCCAAGAAATTAATATTTTAATGAACAGTGCAGGGCCATATTCCTTATCATCTCCAACCGACGGCCAAATGGCCATAGGACTTGTTTTAGCCTTATCACAAAAAAGGGTCTCCAACCGAGGGCCATTGGGCTAGCCAGCAGGCTGGCTGAAAGTGGCCAGCCGGTTTACCCTTTGGCATTTTTAGATTTCGTGGGGCCCACGAGCCTTTTTTAGCCCTTTGACCCTCCAATAAATTAATATTTTAATGAACAGTACATAACCATATTTCTTACTATCTCCAACCGAAGGCCAAAGGGCCATATGGCTCATTTTAGCCCTGTCACTAAAAACCGTCTCCAATCGAGGGTCAAAGGGCTATAGTATGGAATGTGAA